TACTAGACTACTTAGCTATCACTCATACACAACTATCTTGCTAGATTAGTTGGCTATCACTCATACACAACTATCTTGCTAGATTAGTTGGCTATCACTCATACACAACTATCTTGCTAGACTGCTTGGCTATCAATCATACACAACTACCTTGCTAGACTGCTTGGCTATCAGTCATACACAACTATCTTGCTAGACTGCTTGGCTATCAGTCATACACAACTATCTTGCTAGACTGCTTGGCTATCACTCACACAGGGTTATTGCTAAACCATATAGGTATCTCATGCAGCACAGAACATTACTGTTATAACTCTTGGAAAACTATAATGCACTGCTGATATAACTACAAAATTGATATAACTACTAAAAGTAAATAGTAAGGTCATGAATTACTTATTTCTCTATATACTTACCCTTCTTTCCTCTCCACTTCCAATGTAGTAAGTCTCAAATCAAATAATGATCTGGGATGGTGATCTAATATAATCTCATAGTGATCAGGTGTGAAAAGCTACTAGATGGACAGGTTTTTCTCATTCAGGATGAGATCCTGCAAAGGAAGAAAAAGATGTAACATTGCAACATGAAGAAGAGAAATGATGGGAGTTAAAGTCAGCAAGTTGAAAACATAAAGGTATCTGTTGAAATTAATTTTAATTCTAAAAATGTTACTTTAAATGATCCATTTGTTACTTTGTCACTGCAACATTATAAATTAAAATACATATATATGTTTTTTTTTCTCATCAGGTGATTCATATTCAAGGCTATACAAAGTACTAGCAAGTCAACCAACCCTATTGAATTATTATGGTTGGTAAATCCACATTAAAACCAAAAGACTTGTATTTCAAAAGATAGTAGCACCAAAGTCACTATTAGATGTTGTCAAAATGAAGCAACATTCCTCACTATGGCAATACATAACATAACATAATATTTTGGGGCAACATGGGACCTATTGGTCCATCTCGGTTGTTCCATTCTCAAAACTAAATTTAAATGATTTAAAAAATTTCAAACCCAGCCCTTTTCACTCATTTACTTATCAAGCTTTTTCTTAAGCTCACTTAAATTAACTATCTCTACAACATCTGAAGGCAACCCATTCCAAAGGCCAACCACCCTGTTAGAAAAATAAAACCATCTTAGCTGAAGATGACTTCTACCTCGCCAAAAATTTATATTTGTGTCCCCTAGTCCTACTATTCTCATTGTTAAACATAAAAAAGATGATACATCAACACTATCAATTCCCTTTACAATCTTAAACACCTCATTCAGATGCCCCTAACTTTTTTTTTCAAGAGAAAACAATTTGAGAGATTTCAGCCTCTCGTCATATGACAACCCCTCCATCCTAGACACCATTCTCTGAACCCTTTCCAACAATTCAATGTCCTTCCTAAAATAAGGAGCCCAAGACTGAACACAATATTCCAAATGTGGCCTAACCAGTGACATGTGCAATGAAAGTATAGCCTCTTTACACTTGTATTCAATATTTCTATAGATACAATCTAAAATCCTATTTGCCCTACCACTAGCAACAGCACACT